GGAGAGAGAGAGCTGGCCCTCCCAGCCCCCAGACCTGGATTCACAAACAGGCTACATAAGCTCTGAGGGCTCCAGGCAATTCCCCTTCTGAAGGGTCTGCTACGTGCCCGATGCTGGGGATATACAAAAATCAAACAGTCCCTGTCCTCAGAGAGCTTACGTTCTGTCCCATGCTGCTGTATCCTGGTTTAGTCCAAAAAACAAACTCTCCGACGGCTAGCACCACGTCCGCTGAGCTGAGACGGTGAGTCTCCTAAGTGCGCTTTGTGAGCCCTCGGAACAATCTGAGCTAGCCATCCACACACGGAAGGCCAAGCGGATGAAGAATGCCTGATGGTGTGGACAGTCGGACGGAGGGTCCACCAGGACCTGTATCCTGGACAGACGGTGCTGATGTGCATGAGGAGCTTGTGCAAGAGTGGGGGGCGGGGGGCAGCACTCTGCCATGCATGGTATAAAACCCCCCCAGACCAAAAAACAAAAACACCCACCACACCGTCTGAACTACAGGTGTGGACAACAGGTAGGCCCCGCCCTCTGCTCAGGTCACTCAACTAACCCACGGAGGCCTTGGTTTACTCATCTGTAACATGAAAAGACAGGCCAGATGACCTCGGAGGCTTCCAGCTCCACAGCTATGATGCTAAGATATGAGGTGGCTAGGTGGCGCACTGGAGAGAGCGCTGGGCCTGCAGTCAGGGAGACCCGAGTTCAAATGTGACCTCAGACAGGTCCCAGCCGTGTGACCCTGGGTATGTCACTGCACCCTGTTTGCCTCAGTTTTCTCTTCAGGGTTTTTATAAGAATCCAATGAAATAACATTTGGTGCTATATAAATAACATAGGAAGATGCTATTTAAATATAGCTAATAATAACCAACATTTCTACGGCACTTACTATGTGTCAGATACTGTGCTGAGTGCCTCACAATTATCAGTCACTATTCTGTTACTTATTATTATTTCTCTGCAAACTGAATACAAGGGCAAAACTGCACAGAGAAAAAACGAGAAAAAACAGGGGACGTGATGCCCGAAGTTCTGGGAAACCAAAAGCCCCACGTGCTCTTTGGGCCAACAGCCCCACCACCTGTCTCGTTGCATCTCCAGCCCCTGCCAGCAAATACTAAGTGAGTGACAGGTGGCTTAGTCTGCTTACAGAAATAACTGTGGGGAAGGGAGGGAAAGAGAGAGGGAGAGAAAAAGAAAGAGAGAAAGAAGGAAGAGAGAAAGAAATAAAAGAAAAAGGAAGTGAGGGAGGAAAAAAAGGAGAGGGAAAAAGAGAGAAAGAAGGAAGAGAAAGAAATAAAAGAAAAAAGGAAGTGAGGGAGGGAAAAAAGGAGAAGGAGAAAAAGAAGAGAGAAAGAAATAAAGGAAAGAAAAAAGGAAGCAAGGAAGGGAAAAAAGGAGAGGGAGAGAGAAAAAGAAAGGAAGAGAGAAAAAAATAAAGAAAAAAGGAAGTGAGGAAGGCACAAAAGGAGAAAAAGAAAGAGAAAGAAGAGAGAAAGAAAGAAAAAAAAGAAAGTGAGAGGAAAAAGGAGGAGAAAAAGAAGAGAGAGAAATAAAAGAAAAAAGGAAGCGAGGAAGGAAAAAAAGGAGAGGGAGAGAGAAAAAGAAAGAAGGAAGGAAGAGAAAGAAATAAAAGAAAAAAGGAAGTGAGGAAGGAAAAAAAGGAGAGGGAGAGAGAAAAAGAAAGAAAGAAGAGAGAAAAAATAAAAAAAGAAAAAAGGAAGTGAGGAAGGAACAAAAGGAGAAAAAGAAAGAGAAAGAAGAGAGAAAGAAATAAAGAAAAGAAAAAGGAAGAGAGAAAAAAGGAGAAGGAGAAAAAGAAGAGAGAGAAATTTTAAAAAAAGGAAGTGAGGAAGGAAAAAAGGAGAGGGAGAGAAAAAAAGAAAGAAAGAAGGAAGAGAGAAAAAAAGAAAAAAGTAAGGAAGGAAAAAAGGAGAGGGAGAGAGAAAAAGAGAAAGAAGGAAGAGAAACAAAAGAAAAAAGGAAGTGAGGAAGAAAAAAAGGAGCAGGAGAAAGAAAAAGAGAAAAAGAAGAGAAAGAGGGAGGGAGAGAAAAGAGAGAGAGAAGGAGGAGGAAGGAAAAAAAGAAGGAAGGAAAAAGGGAGGAAAAAAAGAGGAAAGAAAAGAAAAAGCCAGGGGCTTTGTGATCCCAGAGAGGAGGCAATCATAGTAACCCCTGCCCCATCACACAGATGAGAGCCCCTCCCCCAAGCAGAGTGACCCCAGTACGGGCTTTTTCAGGCCAAGTGCTCTACCCCAGCGACCTCATCGCTGACAGGCACTCTTGAGGTCTGCAAAAGCTCTGGGCAGAGCTGTATATGGAGCCAGGCTCTGCTCCTTCCTGACAGTGTGACCTTGGGCAGCTCACTGTACTTTTGTGGGCCTCCCTTTTCTTGAGGTCCCTGCCCACTGGTCGATCCTATGATTGACTTAAGTCCAACAGCCTTATGAGGTAGGCACTCTTATGCCAATTTTGTAGATGGGAAAACTGATGCCTGAAGGGGGTGTGTGTGTGTGTGTGTGTGTGCGCGCACGCGCGCCCAAGGTCACACAGTCAGTCAGTGCCAGGGTCAGCTCTTCCCAACCCTAAGGCCAGCTCTGTGCAGTCCACCCCCCCGGCCTCTCTGTCTGGAGAATCACAGACCTGAAGCCAGAAGGAACCCTCAAGGCCATCCAGCCAAACCTCTGGCTTCACAGACAAGGAAGTCAAGGACCAGTGAGGCACAAACACCAGAATTTGGCTCCAGATTTGAGGCCTTTTCAATCGCATTCACTGAGAGCTTACTATGTGGCCACACTGTGCTAAACACTCCAGACTCAAAGACAACGGTGAAACCACCCCTGCCTTCAAGAAGCTTAAGTTCTAGCAGGGTACACGAACCATATCAGGCCCAAGTGGCCACGTATTAGATCTCTAACATGAATACCAGGTGGTTAGGAAGGAACACAGCCCAGGTGGAGGGGACATGCATAACCCTACTCAGCATGCTGGTACAGGTGAGGACACCCAGGCAGCCACACCACGGAGGGGAGGGAAGGGTGAATATCCACACAAAGGCAGGGCCACAGCAGGCCCAGGGCAGGCTGGGAAGGGCTTGTAAGTGTCAGAGGGGGAGGTGATGGGGAGCCAGGGGCCAGACCTGTGCTTTAGGGTACAGAGAGACCTGAGGCAGAGAGATGAATTAGGACATGACTGTAGTCTCCAGGCATGGGGGAAAGGAGCCAGAACTAGGGTGGTGGCTGTGAGTGGATGCACGGGAAAGATTCATGGAGACAGGAGAGATGAGAGTTAGTGAGGGGCCGGTGGTGAGGAGTCAAGCTTAATCCTGGGTGGCTGGAAGGAGGGTGCTCTGGGCATGGGAATAGCAAAGGTCAGAGAGGGGAGGGTCTGGGGAGAAAGAGGAGGTGGGTCTGGGACATGCTGAGTCTGAGACGATCACAAGACGTCCAGTTCAAGATGTCCAGGAGGGAGTCGGTGATGCGAGACCGGAGTTTGGGGAGAGACTTCCCACCTCACCAGGCTGCCTCCCTCTCCATACTGGGACAGCAGCCAGGGACAAGCTGACCCCAGCCTCTCCCTCCCTATCTGTGTCCCAGGAAAGGGAGTCAGTCCAAGGACAGAGGGAGAGATAGGGCAGCTTGCCAGGCTGGTCAAGAACCAGAGGGGCAGGGCCAGAGAGCGCTGGCCATCTGAAGGGCAGAATCCAGGGGAGAAGGGAGAAGTCTGAGGGAGGGGACAGGGCTGGCCTTATCCAAAGAATGGTCCACACACACACACACAGACACACACACACACACACACACACACACACACAGACACACACACACACACACACACACACACACACACACACTCTGCCAGCCTTCCTAAAACTCCACCATGAGAAATGAATTCCCTTGAACGCAAAAATGGACTTTCAGTTCCCAGGAGGTCAGAAACAGAAGGAACCTCGGAGAGAGATTATTTTATAGGCAGGCAAAAAAATAAAAAATAAGTGCAGAGCCAAAAGGGTCAGTACATTTCCCAGGTTAGCCAGTGGGCAGAGTTGGTTCTCAAACCTAGGGCCTGCACCCCCAAATCCAAAGCTCTCTTCTCCTGGGACGTTAGCAGCAACCCTTATGGCTCTAAAGATACGCAGGTACATACATACGTACAGTACATACACACATAGAGAGATAAAGATGTTAGCTTAGGAGGAGTTCAGGCATTAAGAGCCCTGATCTCCAAAGTGAAGGGCTTAGGGGGCCCAGGAATCACAGAGTCGGGGCTGAAGTCACCCTTCATTTACTAAGGGGCAGGGCTGGGATTTCAAACCAGGCCTGGCTCTGCTGGTTAGCCTCAGTTTCCCCCTCTCTAACGGCAAGGGGAGGAGAGGAAATCATCAGAGAGTCACAGGTGCAGTCAGAAGGGCCAGGGGGTCCAAACTGCGGGTGCTACAGGTGAAGTGCCTCGCTCAAAGTTACACAGGTAAGAGAGGACCCGGGTCCCTGGGTCCTCCTCCGACCCATTCCCGCATCGAGCAAAGCGGGCCAGGGACACCAGAGGCGCACGACTCTGCGAGCAGGGGCTGCGTCTGGGTGGGGGGGTGGGGGGATCCCCGCTCCCAGGCAGGCGCGCGCCGTGGGGCTCGCTGCCTTCAGTGCACGGTCCTGCAGCCTCACCCCCGCGAGTCCCGAAGCGCAGCGTGGGGCTCGTGCACAGGAGCACAGGAGCGCCGGGCGGGGAGGGGCGCTCCCTGCTGCCCCCCCACTCCAGTCCGGCAGAGCCCGGGACGGCTCAAGCTCCGGGGTGCCCCGTGGAGAGGGGGCGCTCGCGCCTCCGCGTGCGTGCGCGGGGAGGGGGCTCCCCGTCTCGGGTGCCCGACTCCGAGCCGGAGCGAGCGGCGGCGGCGGCGGCGGCAGTCCGGGGCGACCCGGGAAAAGTGCACGGAGTGGGGGCGGCCGGGAGCCGAGGGGAGGGTCACCGAGGGGCGGGGCCGGGGTCGCCCTTACCTTTGGCCTCCTTCCAGTCGGTGGAGGTGTTGAGGTCCACCTTGGCCGCCATGGCCAGAGGGGCAGAGGCTGCCCAGGTCCGCACGCCGGCCGGCCCGGGTGCCTGTGCCCGGCAGAAGCGGCGCGGCGCCAAAGAGGGCTGCGCCCGGGGAGCCGCCGCCGCTGCGCGCGCGCTC